TGACCAATTTTGGTTAAATTTCTTTTGCTTATAACTTTTTTATAAAATCCACGTTTGAAACTTCTTAGAAAAATTAAAAAAATTTAACACACTTTAACAAAACACCCAAAAATTTTAAACTTTTTAATAAACATTCTTAGAAAAATCTTAGGTATGCAGCTTTAGAGCCCATTAAATTTTAGTAGGTTACTTAAATGGCATGTAATCAATGTATTCTTATGGTTTCGAGCGTTTTGATTAAGGCGGAACTCCATGCGTTACATACAAATACAAATTTTTATGGCAGCACCTACATAACAACGCATGAAAATGCAAAACAGTTGTATGATTTTTGATTTCTAAGCGTAAATGTCAAACGCATGCATACGGATACGTAAGCTACGGAGATCCGCCTTTAATCCTAGAAAATTATATTTATCTTAAAATTATCGTAGAGGGGAGGTTGGGGTCGCATTGCAGGATGTTTTAGTTTTGTTTGACCTGGTCTAATGTATATGTAACCATAATATACATATGTACATACATATATTTTACCACACTTTCTTATCAAAGGAATATCCAGTCTTTTTTGGCGTATCTTACAAGTTTAGCTTTCAGCTAGATCAGTTTCATTAACCGCAGCATATAATGGCTGAAATCAAAACTAACTTGGCTCAAACCACACAATGGATTGTTATGCACTGTTTATAATTTACGTAGTTACCCAGCCAGCAGAGAAACGTAAATTTTGCCGACATTGCGGTCTCGTATAATTTTCCGTAACCGACAACGAACAGAAAATTACCACGATTTTCGTTAATTCTCATATCCGAAAAAAGTTCAAAACGTTCGATAAAGATGATGTTGATGTGAAAGCACTAATTGTATTTCATTTGTTCAAGCTGAACATTTGAAAGCATGTATACGTACGTAGTCGGCAGCGACTGAGCATGCAGAGGAGCGTGCCACTATTTGAGCTTCCAGAAGATGCCGGGTTCGGACTCCGTCAGGCGCTTGCTTATTTTTTATTTTTTGAACCATGAAAAAGCTTCTATGAAGTGCAGAAGGAAAGGGTATTGAACGAAAAATGCAATCAGACAAATTTCAGAAAAACGGTCAAAAACGTATGCGCAGTCGTAGTTTTCGAAACTTGTCTTTACATAGTTACGTTTCTGTCTCACACTTTATTGGGATAGCGGATCGTCAAAGTATACGAAAATGGAATCGGTAAACGGACTAAGATCCAGACTAACGCGCACTTTTTTTCCTTTTTCGTACTTTTTGCTGACTGGGTAACGCAGTAGTTCTCTATTCGAGTGGTAAGCTATGTACATACATATATATATGTATGTGTGTACAGTACACTTTAAGGCTTTATTTTTATTTATTACAAGAAAATCACGCCATTTGTTGTCGCAACTTTCACCACTCCAGTAACAACTGCACCCGGCAAACATTGAATGCGGAATGGTTTTGCGTGTGGAATTGAATGAGAAAACGTAAGTAGTAACAACTATGTGAGTGATTTAACATTTTAATGATTGTTTGTGCGCTATAACAAGTCAAATGTAGAAAATTTTCGATTTTTTTTCCTGGGGAATTGTTGATGCCATGATAAAAATATACATAGTCAGCAAGACAGGTAGTAGCATCAGAGCGAAAAAAAAAAAAAAACATTTATATGTATGTATTTTGTTGTTGCTTATGGTCTCTAAACTGTAAAAAAATATTCTGCATATAAAATATGAAAACTAATAAAAACGGAATGAAAAAAATAAATAAAAACTCGTGCGCATTTTTCTTGGTAAATTTGTTTGCTTCCGCAAGCACTGATCCATTTTTTTTCAAGGCCTAATAATAAGTGCTCGTGCTTCGGAGTTAAGCGAACGTTCCAAAAGATGGTTTTCAATCGCTTATTTTTTAGAAAAAGGTTTCAAATGAAAATATATTTTGGCAATATAGAATTTTAGAGAAAAAGTAATAATATTGTTTCTCACTTTAGAAACCAAATAATTCAAAAAAATTAAATCAGCTGATCTACTGACACTACCTGTTCAATATGCCTTCATAGTAAGGTAGAACCGCTGAGAGGCACTTTTAAACTTCTTAACGTTTGCAAACAATTTAATTTTAAAATATTAAACACAAACTCACACATATTTTCATTCTCAATCCTAAACAACATTTTCGTTTTTTAATCATCATGGCCGGTGGGCCACTCTAAGCTTTTTTTAGTGGTCGCAGAGAGGAGCTTTTAAAACAGTTATATAATTTATTTCAATGAAATATTTCTACAATCTAAAGGCCATTCTGGGAGGTTTCGGATCTTAAGAATCTGAATCGGCAATTTATTTTTTGGCACAAAAAACACGAAGAAACTTTGTTAGTACGCTCCCACGGTGCAGCGAACAAAGGTGGCGCCGTCAGTGGTACCGCTACTTTGGTTTTGCCGATATTGACAGTTGTGTTAACTTGTAAATAAACCTTTGTTTACAAATCAGCGAAAGAGAAATTCGCATTATAAGTTAAAAATCAGTTTAAATTGTGTTAATTTGCAATTTTTGAGTTGAAGACTGCGTAAAAACTAATAAAATGAAGTGCTGTGTGTTAAATTGCGACAGCCATCAAGATACAAGATGCGTAGATGCAAGTGTAGCGCTGGGACGAATCGCTGCATTTTGTGTACATAGGGCACGTCAAAGCCGTTCCCGAAATGCTTCTTTATTATTACATTAACAACATTTCCGCCCAATGATTTTGCTTCTGCTCCAAGCAGCCTCCATTAGCAAGTTAACTTATCAATCCCGCTGAGGTGCTGCCGAAGTTTTCTGTAGCAGCCTTAATTGCAAAGCAATGAAGTGCACTAAAACGTTTGCTGAATCAACCTCAATTGCAAGGCAATGGAGTGCACTAAAATGTTACCTATTCTCTAATAGATTAGGTAAATATGCAATATTTTCGCATTTAGCAAAATTAAAACACGTTTTTCGCTGTAAAGTGAACTCTTTTGGCAGTTTCAACTCGTTCTTTTTTTCGCTCTATTCTTTGTTTACTTGTGGTACACAAATGTCAACGCCCAGGACGGCGCAATCTTGTATTCTATCATTCTTGGTACGCTCCTGTTACCACTCGGATATAGCGGCCGCCATACATGCAGCAAGCAACCAGTTACTACAATCAGTGTTACTAATCATGATGCATTTTACCAGCCAAACGATTTCCAACTCAATTTCAAATTAAAGCTTCGTGTGTTCACTTTGTGAACTAAAAGGCTTCGTAAAGACAGTGGTCTGAAATGACCAAAATTATTATTTTTTTTTTTTAATTGTTAATTACTGTAATATTGCATTTCTGAATTTTTATAAAATACATAAAGGGCTTTCCATATGCAAAATTATCGTATGTGCCAGACACCAAATTTTTAGAGAACGTTTTTTCTACTTTTAAAATTTTTTTGATTTTTTTTTTACTAGGGATTTAAGCTACGATATTTTACCAGGTGATGCGTTGTGGGGCGTAGAACAAATTTGCATCAAAAAGTGAATTTCAAAAAAAAATGGTATATACAATAATTTTGCGCAAAGGTGTCGATATGTACATACATTCCAGATTTCATTGGGAAATCTCAATTTGTGCTAGAGTTAACGTGTAAACGTACAGAAAGGACATACATACATGGCTAAATCAATTTCTCTTGTCATTCTGAGCATTTTAGCATATATGTATTTATGTATCAACTATTTATGTATCAACTATATGTACTTATATATCAACTATACTGAAACTACAAATTCTGATTAAGAAGTTTGAAATTTGGATGCAAGTTTGTTGAATTTTTCTAATTTCTGCGCATATTGAGTTTGTTATATAAAGAAACTAATAAACAAAATATCTAGTAAAAACTGTGAAAAATATTGCAAACCTATTCTCCTGTCCAGCACTGCTTATACATACGAGTACATATTTACATATGTGTAAATATTTAGGTAAAATTGTATCTGAGCATGTGTTCATATTATTGTATCACTCTGAAGCGAGTCATCTGTTTCATAACGAAGAAAATGATGCCGACATACATACGAGGTAGAAGAGAGTCCAAGCCCAAAAAAGGCAAATGTTGAATTTGTTGTTGCCAAGTGCTCGCGCAACGCACTCGTGTCTACTCTAAAGACAAGTTGGCGTTGCCCAGACAAGTCGCTATGACAGCGATGGCAACTTCGTGGATATGCATTAATTAAGTAAAAAAAAAAAGAATAAAGCAGCTGAGAAACGAATTGATATGCAAGAGAGCATCAAAAAAAAAAAACTTAAACAAAAAGCAAAACACAAAAATAAATAACACTATGTACACATGATTTAGCTCAAATGAATGACCCTCGAAGGTGATTCGTGTTTGCTGGGTTCTAAATAGTGCCTGTTTTGGTGTATGTACGTGTTTTTTTTTCTTTTCAATGAAGAATAAAATTTTGTGTGGTAGCCACAGTATGCAACACACGAACCTTCAACTTTCGGGCGCAAATAAACAAGAAAATACATATAGCACTAAAAACAATAACGAATATATCTAACAAGCCGTTCAAGCGGTATCAAAGTCCATTTGGCGCTGACTCGCTCGTAGCCCAAGAAAAATGCAAAATACAAAAAGTAGCAACAAAAAAAAAAAAAACAGTGAACGTCAATAAAATGTAGGCACAACGGGAACGAAACTTTGCGACTAGGCAGTGATCGTTCGTACCTCGGCGGCGACTCTTTTATTAATTCTTATTTTATTTATGCTTGTTTTTTTTTCTGGTCACTTCTATATGAATATGTTTGCCACCTCCACAAGATTTTCTACTACTTTGCAGGAATATTTTTATGGTGGCTTTTGTTAACTTAATTTCCTTTGTACATATGTATGCAGAGTGAACCTCATTTGAACATTTTTGATCTGGTTTCAGTCTACATTTTACGTCGGCTTTTTGTCTCAAGATTTAAAATAAAACAGCAGGAGAAAAGCATACACACCGACGGTGCTTTACCTTTGCCTTTGATTGTTGACGTTTATTTTTCACGGTGTCTTAATTTCATTAAAAAATTACACTATCACGCTAACAGTTAGATTTCACTTAATTTGTAACTAATGAATTCACTAGTTAGCACAACAGAAAATAATTATTAGTTCACACAACTTTTGTAAAAAAGTGTTGTTATTGCATTTTTTTTTTGTTTGTTTGTATACTTGAAAATTAGTGCACTTGCATTTTTTTCTATGCACACTTTAATAGGAAACCATTTCACGATTTAACTCTTTCAGTTATTGTGTTCCACTACATTTCATTTTCAATATTTTGTGTTTCTTCTACATTATATTTACAATGAACTAACTTAAGTTGCACAATTTAGTATTTCCGTTTAAATGATATCAGTTTAATTTTATTAATTTTTTTCTTTTGTTTTCCGCTTTGTAGGCCTTTCTTTTCCGTAGTAGTTGCTCCGACAATTGCGATTTGTAGACTGAAGCTCGCGACTAGCAGTGTCGAGTCATATAATCTACCAGCCAACCAGCCAAGCAACCGCCAAACAGAACAATAATCGAATTAACAACAAGCTCTTCTCGTACCTGAATACTTATATGTGTATGTATGTATGTACATTAGGGTGGCCCAAAAGAAAGTAAAATCGGAAATTTAATGCTCTCACCTCCTAGAATTGTTCTATACCGAAAAAATTATACCCCTAGTTTTTTATTTGAAATCAAAAAATATTAAATGGTATAGAATTCTTGAAAATCCATTTTCTTCGATCGAAAAACTTTGCTTTTCTTCAGAACACTTTCAATTATAGTATCCCAGGACATAAAAAATTGCTAGTATTAAGAAATGGTTAGATATACAATTGGGTATTGTTATTGAAAGTCTCCTGAAAAGAAACAGTTTTCTGATCGAAAAATATTGATTTTCAACAAGAATTCTATACCATTTCCATGAAAATGGTTTTCCCCATATAAAATATGTACATGCACTGAACCAAAAATCCATCTCTGGATCAAAGAAAAATTTTCCTTACTTTAAGGTCGAAAATTCTTCCGAATGAGTAAAAAATTCTCCAGAATGCGTAATTTTTCTTTGGAATGTGTAAAAACGTACACGAATATATGGAACCGTGGATGTAATCTATCATTTTAAAGAAATGTTGGACATGAAAAGAGGATAAAACTTCTTTAGTGCTGTTTCGTTCCCATTTTTCTTCATTTTGATTGCTGTTTTTCTTCAATTAAGAGAAGTTTTTTTTGGGTGTGACCTGTAAATATTTTTTGATTTCAAAATAGAAAAAGTAGGGGTATA